ACAGCACTCCCTGGGTGCTGGAGTGCTTCTGGAGTTTTCTCCTAGCCCAACGCACTCAGTGACAGCAGACCTCTCTGTCTATCTCCTTATGCTAATGTGGCCTGGATAGATGACATTTTTCTGACATTTTTCTGGACTTACTTCATCAGGATTTGGTCTGGTGCATTTTCTAGGTCTTTTTGGAGGAGTTTTGTGGAGGGAAGCTTGGCTATACTGGGTCTACTGCTCTGCCTTCTCAAATGACCTTTTGTTTTAATTAATCTCATAAGGTTCATAAAGCTTCATTTAATGGAGTTCTCTACTTTTGTATCTTCTAAAATTTCTCCTTGCCAAATTCAGCAACTCTGAATATACTGCCTTTAGAGTCTAGACAAGTATTTTTTAAAAGTTTCATTAAGTTAATAATATATTAAATCTAGGTGAATTCTACATATTCCTCTAACTTTTTCTGCATACAATAGTTTTTATTTATAACTCTCTTGTTTATAATACTGACTTTTGCTGGTGCTAATATCCAGGTTCTTTTTTTTTATCCAAATTATTATTCTACCTTTTAGAATACTCTTCCCCCTTAATTTCCATTTCTTGTTCTAACCAAGCTTTCAGCCCCCTATAAAATATAAGAGAATTCTCCTCTACCCCAATTTTACAGAAGAAGAAACTGAGTCTCAGAAATGTGAAGAGATCTGCCCAAGTTCACATGGTTATGTGATTTCTGTGCACCATTCTTAACAATTAAGAATTATTTCTTGATAGTTCATTACATTATGTATATGTATATATTATATATATTATTTGTATGCATATATAAATATATGTGTATATATGAATATATATGTATATAAAATATTTTTAAAATTATTAACAGAAGGTATAAATAGTTCTGTTAAGCCAAAAATAAAGATTATATTTCAATTGTGGTAATTGCATAGCAAAAGATTTTACCAAAAATTGCATACATCCACAATAGAAATCCTTTCTCCCATTAGAACTGTATGAGTCTGTATTGGTCAAGTAGCCAAATTCAAAGCTACTAATAAAAAGGTTGTTTGTTTTCCCAAATTTGTTGGTGTAACACCCCATGTGGCTATTTGCAACAACCAGTTGACCAGAGTCAAAAGTGGTGTAAAATGCAGAAATAGTCTGTTCATTCCCAAGTGTTTTATGCATAATTATATGACAGTCCATTGTAAGTATCATTTAAGACCATAAACTCAGGCTAGTTAGTTCTTCAGAAAAGTTTTTAATTGCTGTTCATTATAATCTTGATTTAAGATGCTTTGTATGAATAGCAGCTCTTGAGAAGTGGGAATGATCAGAGTCCCATCCAGGAGTCAAAGATGGACTCTTCAGGTCCCCTTGTTACTCCTAATCAAACTGTTATGGTCTGACGTACTTGGGCAATGAATGGCATGTAGTGGAGCTTTGGCTCCCTCTACTGAACTATGGAATGGTAGGCACACTTCTTAAATAGGAGATTGTTTCATTTTAGATTTGCTTTTGGATATGTCCTAATTGTATGCTGTATCACCATTTAGTCTTTGTGATCCCGTGCCTTAATTTCTATATGGGGATTTTGAAATTCCATTGGCTACAATAAGAGCTTATGCTCATTGTGGTCTCAGTGTTGCCTGTTTACCTGTTTACTAGAATTCTTGAGCAAGAGCCAGAGGGGTGGGAGCCTCAGCTTCTGCTCTTGTCCTTAAACATCTTAGCCTCCTGGAGTCTCACAGACAGCCTGAAACATTCTAGAAACAGGTTATTTTCTTCTCTTCCTCTGTTTGTTTAAATCCAATATCCGGTTGCTTTCTGACCTAAGGCTATTCAAAGCATAAAGCAAGAACTCTAGAGGGAATCATTACACTTTACCCTCCCCCATTTCCCACTCACTTTTAAGATCATATCGCCATGTTACACTGTAAACCCAATTCAAATGCTGTCCTCTTCACAAAGCCTTATTTGATTACATGCTCCCACCTCATCACTAATAGCCTTCCTGTTGAGACCTCTCACTTTATTTTACCACCTAATGTTGGTAAAAATGTATTTATGAGCCATTGTGGTATTTTCTGTGTATTTGTTTCTGCCTCTACCATTCTAAATTTGGTGGGACAGCGTCAAAAACTTTTTATCTCCTACTGTACCTAGTACAGTATTCTGCATACAATGGTAGATACTAAATAAGTACTTGGCTGTAATAACATTAGTACTTACCCAATGGTTTGTTTTAAGGATTAAGTGAGATATATAATGTACATATGCAAAATACTTTGTAAACCTTAAAATACTATATAAATGCCAACTATTGTTTAATTATATTGACTAAGTTCCCAGGGTTGTGCATTATTTAAATCCTTGTTCTTAACCATTTCATGAATTATTTTGGCTTCCTGCTTTATATAGAATGCTCTCCTGAAATTGCTTCATAGCATTCTGTCCAGGGTGTCTGTATAACGTACACCAGAGGAATTGCCCATTTGGAATCTTCCCTTTCCAAAAATCAGTGCAGCATTTGGTTGAGCCAAATTTAGGCTTTCTGAACTGAGGAACCTTGTTCCCTAAGTCCTACATTGGGCTGCCCAAAGCTACAGGGACATATTCTGTCTCAGGGGTGGGGAAGGTGTAGTCTCGAGGCCACGCGTGACCCTCTAGGTCCTCAAGTTCGCCCCTTTGACTGAGTCCAGGGGTGGTCTCGAGGCCACAGGTTCCCCACCCCTGTTCTAGCTGATTTTGGAATGATTGTGCTCAAAAGGAGTTTGGAGTTACTAATATTTAAACACAGGGTTATAGGAACAAAATTAATACCTATTTCATTGGCTGGAATTTACAGATCAGAATTACCAAAGCCTATGAGAGTTTTTGTTTAATTTATCTTTAGGGGACTGCCTTTAGCCACATTTTTTCCCCCTACTCTTCCTTTGCCTACATTTAGAGTGTGGAGTCAGTATCCATTTCTAATTTCCTGGAATCAGAGTGGCAGACTAGTTAGGGAAAGATATTACTACCTTGTCTTCCTCCTGGACATCCAATGTGTTGCCCAGTCAGGCCTCATTTCACCTGAAGGAGACTTCTCATTGCCTACCATATAAGGTATCAAGGGGGCATTCATTAAGCTCGTACTACAGTGTGCCAGGCACTGTGCTAAGCACTTTACAAATATGATATCATTTGATCCTCACGGCAACTTGGGAGGTGCTATTATGATCCCATTTTGCATTTGAGAAAACTCAGGCAAATAGGTTAAATGGCTCATCTCAGAAGGATCATACAGATAGTAAGTGTCTGGATTTGAACTCAGGTCTTCCTGACTCCAGGCTGAGCACTCTATCTACTGCACCACGAATTTTTTTACTAAGTACATACTACGTGCCAAGGGCATTGTGATAGGAAGTGGAGATGCGAAGACAAAAGTGAAGTGAGCTTTGCCCTCAAAGTGCTTATGTTCTATCAGAGTATATCAGTTAATCAGTCAGAAAGCCTTTATTAAGTGCTTGTTGTGTGCCAGGCACTGTACTAAACACTGGGGATGCGAAGAAAAGCAAACACTCACTAACATTCTGATGGGGGAGGCCACATGTAAATAATTCTGTATATGCAAACTATGCAGAGGAGAGGAAAGGTAATTTCGAAGGGAAATGTTTATTCCTTGTGCCTAGAATGTTCTTCCTCCCCTCTTGGTCCGTTAAATTCTGCCTGTCCTTCAAAGCTGTACTCAAATGCCACCTTCTGTACCAAGCCTTTGCTGATTCCCCACTCCCTAGCTGGCAACATTTCCTTTTGTCCTTTTCCTCCTGTAAGAGTAATAATAGCTTATATTTAGATAGTACTTTAAGATTCGCAAAGTGCTTTCTGAAAATTATCTGATTTTATCCTCCCAACAACCCTGTGAGATAGGTGCTGTTATTATACCCATTTTACAAATGAGGCAACAAAGGCAAAAGTGACTTTGTCCAAGGTCACACATGTCTGAGGCAGGATTTGAACTTAGGCCTTCCTGACTCTACAGCTGGTGGTACTCTATCCTCAATGCTACCCATCTGCCTTGTGTTTCCTACTGTAAGCTACATAAAGTTAAGGGACCACATTTTATCAAAACTTTGTATCTCCTTTAATGTCTAGTAGAGTACCCTGCACCATTGACTTTGTACCCCCAAATTATTCTGCGTACTGTATGTAAATACTGTTGGAGATGGATTTATAAGTCTCTTGGAGGTTTCCTCTTTAATGTTAGCACTTCAGCTAGGGTAAAGAAAATGTTCCAGTACTGTCTACAATGCTGACTTTCCCTTAGCTTTTCCTGGCCCATTAACTTGTCATATCAGTCCTTTCATCCCTCAGTCTGAGTATGTTACCTTCACTAGGATCCAGCTCAAAGATTACTAGCTCCATCAGGGTGTTTCCTTCACCCTATGGCCTCCCACATTTCTGTTCTTTGTTCAATGTTTGCATGCAGCTGGTATCTTGTTGTAGGCATCCTTACCTTGACCTGGTATAGAGTTCCCTGTGAGCTCACAGAATTCTGGAACATTGGGAGACAGTCTGATTTCCTGTGTATCTCTTCGTGGTCCCTAGAACTATGCTTGAATGTTGTGGGTGGACAATGCTTGTGGACAGAGATCTGAGCCCTTAGGAGTGGGTAACAATCAGGCTGTCTTTGCTATGGGGGTGGAAGTTATGCTGATGAGAGCGAGTGTCGGTGTACACCGTGCACGGCTCATGACAGTCAAACCTACAAGGCTAAAGCACCGGACCTCACTGGGCTGTTTGTTGTTTGAAAGACTCTTTGGTTCCTTTGCATGTCATTAAATAACATTTCTTTGCTACAGCTTCATTTCATAAATACTGTGCCTCATTTGCCTGCCTTATGTCACAAGTCTTTTTTGATAGGAAGCATTAATCATAATTTGGATATTAATAAAAACAAATCTTGGCTGATGCTAACTCTCTGATTTCCTTTTTTTTTCCATTTTATTTTGTTTTTCTGCACACATTTTCTTTAGCTTGAAATGGCGATTGAAAACCTACAAAAAAATGAAGGGATTACATCACACAAAAGCAGTTTACTCAACAGCCATGTAAGTTAATGTCTAACTTTACAATCTGTCCCTACTTTGCAAATAGCATTCATAGACACTTTAAAAACCAATGAATGACACTGAATGAGCAGCAGCCTTAGATACCATAGGCTCATTTTTCTGAGATGACTTTTTAAAAGAAATTTGTTTGGCAAAATTTTATTTTAACTAGTTTTTGTTAAAACCATGAGAATATTTTTCACTCTACTATTATTTTTCAAGCCTTGTAGGGGAATATTGTACATTTCTTGATAAGTATGTTGAAAAGTTTGGTTAGTTTCTCTCATTTTTAGCATTCTTGTATTGTTTTCAGAAGTGCTATCAGAAAACACTGCCAAGTGAATTTTAATTGTCTCTTGCTTAGCAAGAAGATGGGAACTAGATATTACTGGAATAGATAACTTATTAGCAGACTTCATCTTTAAGGTTAAGCTGGGGAAGGCTTTATTCCCTATTACATTTGCCTCAGATTCTACCAAGTTTTCTGAACTAGACCATGTGTATATGGTTGAAAAGTTCATTTTAGCAGAATGACAGGCCACTGAGATTAGAATGGGTTCTGATTTATTGCTCTGTGGGAAAATGACTCCATGCTGAGGAATAATCAATCATTTTCTGTCCTTTAAAACAAAAATAATCATCCTCAGTCTGCATTATTCATTTAGATCCGGTCTTCAGCTTGAATCTGTTGTCCTGGGCAAAATACAACACACTGTTTGCTATCATTGTTAGAGATGATGAAAGATCCTATGAAATTTGAAATTAAGTGATATCTGACAAGTTAGGAAGTCTGTGGAGTCAGAGGCTTGAATATAAATTTGGATACAAGTTCCTAGAACATAACTGTATTCAGAAGGGTAAGTTCAGCCAATCATCATGGAAGTGCTGGACCCTTGAGAGGTGGGAGCCCCAAGTAATGTCATTGCCTGCCTGGCCTTCACACGTTCCAGCCCCTGTATCAGGCTGTGCTATTGTAGATCAAAGGTGGTTCTGGGTGAGAAGGCCTCTGGCCCTGACTCATTCCCCACCTTCCACCAAGCTGTACTTGATCTGGCCCTATCACCTTAGTTAGGCAATAGCTGTAGCTGTGTGTAGTCATTATAAATTGCCCTCAGAGGGAAAAAAAAAATCTTCCTTCTATTCCAGGGTTATTCTTGAAGCCCTAACCTGAAAATAGAGATAGAAAAATCCAATTATATTGTGAAGCAAGAAATAGATGTTTGATTGTTTGTTCTCTGTAGAATTCTTTCAGTAGCACCTTATATCATTTTGAGAATTATCCAAGTATAGAGCTTACACAACATGATTGTTTTGGGAAGTACTAGGGGAGTTATGTAGTAGCATCCTGAAAACATAGACAGGCCAGGTGTCTCCACTAAAAATTAAAGTGTCTATGACAAAATACATCATCCTCTCGTTTCTCTGAATACAAATAGGACTTACGATTATCTAACCTTTTTCTTTGGAAGCAAAGCTTTTTTTTGATTATTTCTCTACAAGTTTGCCTCCTTGTGTTTAGCCTTTCCTTGGTGAAATTTGCTCTGTTTTCTTGCCATTACTCTGTTGTAGGTTTTTTCACTCATGAAGTATGTTGAATATGGCTTGGGAGTTTTGTGTGTGTTTATTTGCATGACTTAGAAGTAAAAAGAATACAGAAGTAGAGAGGCTTAAAAATACCACTACTAAAGTAAACCTTGATTTCTTTTTAAAGTGAAAAAATTTATTTAGGGGAGGGGTGTGTCATAAAATGCAGTATAGGTATTAGCACCTAGTCTAGTGCTTCATACCATGTTTTTAGTTGCTTAGCTACTTAACCTAGATTTCTAGAGCCCACAGTTCTTTCACTACTAGTACTAACTTGCTACTGTTAGCATCTTGGCTTAGTGTTGTGAGTAAAGATCTTTTGTAAATATGGGAAACTAAATGCCATAGCCAGCCCCCCACCTCCCACACTCCTAAGTGTTACAGATTCTTCAGGCACAGAGAATGCAGCCAGAGAAGGTGAGGTGGGTTGGGCTTATGGTAGTCTGTCTGCCTCCTTGTCCCCACTTCAGAATTCCGTCCAGTTCAACAAACACTTAAGTGTCTACTCTGTGCAAGTCACTGGTTAAGAAAAAGCCTAGGAAAGTAGAGGTAGCAGGAAGAACCAGCCGCCATGATAGGTTGGTGAAAAACAGAGAGACATACACATACTGTTTCAAAAATTTCTATTCCGAGTAACATAATAATCAAAGGTAGGAGGTCTATAGACTCTCTTCAAAACTTAGCTGAGGTATTGTCTTGTCTGTGTAGCCTTTCCTGATCTCCAACTTTCCCTCACCTGCCAGTGTCCTCCATTTCCAAATTACCTGATACTCATTTGGTAGATATTCTGTATATACCTACATATTTATGTGTTGTTTTCTTCATTAGAATATCAGCTTCTTAAGAATGGGGTTTCTTTGTGCTTGCTTTCCTAGCATTTGTCACCATACCTGGTGCCTGGCATAGAGGAATCGCTTAAATGTTTACCAATTGTATATTTCTGTAGGTCAGCTACATTAATAGAATGTGGAATTAGGGGTGTATTACATACATGTATGCTATGTACATATGTATATGTGTTTGTATGTATGTAGGAAGAAAATCAAGAAATGTGTAACACTTTCTTATAGGGCCAACTTAATGAGAAAGATAGGACTAATATGAAAAATATGAAGACTCAAGTAACAAACACATAGATACACACATAACTAACCCAGACTGTATCTTAATGCAGAAGTATGTACTTCTGTAGTACTTAAGCTTGGTTTTGGAAAATGGGTTGCTTGTGTTGATTAGTGCCAGCTCAATTATCAGTGAGAATTTATTGATCACTTGCTATAAGCCAGGCACTAGAGGTATAAAGACAAATATTAAATAGTTCCTGATCTCAAGGAGCTTATATTCTAAGGGTAGGGGACAACATTTAAGGATATAAAAAATATATTCAGAATAAATACAAAGTAATCTTAGAAGAAAGTGTTAGCAGCCAGGGGCGAGGGTCAAGAAATAATACCTCATCTAGGAGGTGGCATTTGAATTGAATTTTTAAGAAGATTGATTCCAAGAGACAGTGTCACCTCTGCAGAGAGAGAGTACGTTCTAGGCATGGAGAACAGCCTACGTAAAGGCACAGAGATGGGAGATAGACTGACCTGTGTGGAGAAGAGCAGTAAGACAAGTGGTTGGATCATGGAGTGTGTGAAGGGGGAATAATGGGTAATAAAGCTGGAAAGGTGAGCTGGAGCCAAGGTGGGAAGGGCTTTAAATGCCCAACAGAGATAATAGGGAGTGACTGGAGTTTATTGAGCAGGGGAGAACTGTGTTTAGGAAAAGGACTTTGGCGGCTAAGTGGAGGGTAGTTTAGAAAGGGAAGAGACTGGAGACAGAGCAATTAGAAAACTACTGCAAGAGTCTAAGTGAGATGTTGTGAGGGCCTAAAGTAGAGTGATGTCCATGTGAGTTTCTGAGAGAAGGGGATGAATGTGAGATGTCATAGGGGTGAAAATTAGCAAGATTTGGTTACTGATTAGACCCAGTGAGGGAGAATAAGGAGTTGAGAATGATACCAAGGCTGTAGCCCTGGGTGACTGGAAAGCTAGTGTTTCCCTTGACATAGAGAGGGAAATTAGGAAGAAGGGTGGATTTTCAGGGAAAGATGATGATCTGTTTTGCATATGTGCTTGAGATGCTTGTGGAACAGAAAGTTGGAAATGTCTGTTAGGTTGTTGATGATGCTAGTACTGGAACTCAGGAGACAGACCGTTGCTGGTTGTACCTAGCAGTCACCTGTGTAGAGATAATTAATCCATGGGAGCCAATGATGTTTGCAAGAGAGTGAATGTAGAGAAAGAAGAGTCCAGAAGACAGAGCCTTGGCATATGCCTCTAGTTAGGGGGTGATTTACAGATGATAGCCCAGCACAAGAGATGGAGAAAGGAGTGGTCAGACTAGGAGGAAGGGGAATCAAGAGAGGAGTGACCGTCTAGGAGGAGAGAATGGTCAGCAGTGTCAAATGCTGTAGGGATGTCTAGAAGGAGGAGGACTAAGAGAAAGTCATTGGATTTGGCAACTAAAGATCATTGGCAACTTGGGAGAGAGCAGCTTCAGCTGAGTGGTGAGGTTGGGTGCCCGATTTTAAGGATTTGAGAAGTGAATAAGAAGAGAAGAATCGCAGGCAACATAGACAATTTTTTCTTTGAGTTTGACCATGGAAGGGAGGACAGATGTAGAACAATATCTTGAGGGGATGGTAAAGTCAAGTATTAAGGACAAAACAGACCAGGACATGTTTGTAAGCGGCAGGAAGCGAGCTAGTAGATAAGGAGCAATTGAAGATCAGAGAGAGAGGATGATTGTGGAGGCCGTCTCCCAAAAAGAAATAGGAGGATCCAGAGCATACAAGAAAAGGTGTTGGCCTTGATGAGAAGGGCCACCTTTTTATCAGAAACTGGAATAAACAGAAGATAAGAATGGGGGGTGAGATTTAAAGAAGAGGGAGAAGAGGAAGCTCATGGTGAATGGTCTTTATTTTCTCAGTAAAGTGTACAGATTGGGTGAACTATAAAAACAAATAATTTTGAACTTTGTGTAGCTTTGAACTTAGAAAGGTGAGGAGGAACACAGTTTAGTGGAGAGGAGTTAACAGAATAGTCTCTGACCTTTTCCAAGTTAAGACTAAGAAGGAAGAACTTCCCTAGATTAGCACTGGTCAGGTAAACCAAAGTGAATGACAGAGAAGCAAAGGAATCTTTGCACTTGTGCACACAATCTGAGTATCACTGCAGGAATCATAGAATTAGAGCTGGAAGGCAGTCAAAAGGCCATTGAGTTCAGTCTTCCTATTTTCAGCAGAGGCCAGTGAGACTCATAGAGAAGAGACTTACCCCAAGTTATACACTGAGGAAGGAGAAAGCTCAGATGCACCTGGAACCTGGTTTGCCTGCTGCCAAGTCCAGCACTATGCCTAGTAGACCACT